TATATGTTATATGTTGCAAGAAATTATATATTCGTTTTGCAATTGGCGTAATTTAAAGATTTGATTTCATTTTTTTTTAATACATGCATACGTACTACTAAAGGGTAATTTATAATAAAAAATTGACAATATTACCACTTGAACTATATTATTTATGTAACGGTTTTTTTTTTAGTTTATGTAAAGTACAGTTTTTATGGAAGGTATTACCATATTACTCGAAGCGAGTTTCAATTTATTTCTAAAAGCAGTAGAGGTTCGTCGAGATTATTGATTTGCAAAGAAGTTCTTTAAAAAGTCAGAAAAACAAAAATCTGTTTTTCAGTTGTTTTTATTATGAAAAGAACGTTATGTACATTTATCGTCTCTCTGCATATGTATATGTGTATATATATATATATATATATATAACTAAAAATCTAAAACTATAACAAAACATTATCCTACGCTCGTCTTAAACCGCTTAACTAATTAATAATTCATTCATCCCAGTTAAATTTTCAGTACTTAACTTGATCAATTCAAGTCATAATTCTTTAGATTTTTGGCAAGGACAGAGAATAAATAAGATCTTGTAAAAAATATTCTTCTATTAATCTTTCAATCTGCTATTAAACGATTTCTGTAAATGTTAACTTGATAATATGTCTATTTCTTAATTTTACTAAAAATAGATGCATATAATTTGCAATCGTTAGTGACAGTCATTTGATGACAGTCATCAATAAAATGGAAAACAAAACTAAAGCTAGGTTGTTTCACTTTCGGTAAACCATTGCTGGGATTTAAGTACTTGCACTTTCGGCCGATTGGCATTTAGGCTGCGCGCAGGTTGGTGAAATAAGAGGCAGAAACCAAGCTGAAAATCGGCCGAAATGTGCAAGTAAATTCCAGCACTGCTGTAAAGCTTCAGCTCATTATTTTACTCTCTTACATCCTTATGTTCTTACTATTTTACTTTTTTGTTTATCCAGTAGGTAAATTACTGCATAGTTTATTCGAAGATGGAACAACCGGCCCTATAACGATTTAACTAATATAAGCTGTCTTAACAAAATTGATAAAATCAATTATCGATGTGTCATTGTCATCATAATAACGATATCGTAAAAGATTTAGATTGCTACAGTAGGAGTAACTTTGTGTATTATATAAAAATTCTGCTGTGATGGTGTTGTGATGCAAATTATTTGTAACGAAATTTCATTAACGTAAACAGAGAAGAGAATTAGAATTGGAAGAAATTATCCGAACCTTTTTTTATAACTTTTACAAAAATAACAAAAATAACAAAAAGGTTGATATTATCACGCGTAACTTACATTTCAATTTCTATATGTAACTCATATACAAATTATCATGTGATTATAAATATAAAAAAAAGTAATTTGATTAATTCCCGTAACTCATGATAAATTTCATGATTAAAACGCGAATTAATTTTAATACAAGAATACTGAATGGTTTCCGAGGTATTTTCCTGTGGCATCGCGTTATAAAGTTAACTCTGCTAGTGCAATCTAAGTCCAACTTAACGCATTTATAACAAAGTTACGAATGTCTCAAGTAATAAACGCGATTAAGTCACTCGATTCGTGCACGGTAAAATCTAGAAAAATACAGTTTATCTTTCTTCCTTCTTTGAAAGTATACGTTACAATAGTTCAATCTGAACCTTCTGAAGTTATCGGAACCGCCTAAGTCTCCGTCGAACGCGCGAATGCACTTGACGATATTTGTACCGTGTATATACTATCATATATTGATATTTAGCTAAAATCTTGTACAAGAGCTTTCGTATGAAAGATGAAGATGGATTGAATTTCTAGCTGTCCCTGTGCTAGTTTCTCGTGAAATATCTCACACACGCACGCACGCACGCACGCGCATACACACACGCACACAGGTACGCACACACGCACGCACGCACGCACGCACGCACGCACGCACGCACGCACGCACACACGCGTCGAATGATTTGTATAGATTATAATACACGATAAGTATTTTTCGCTGATTAAACCCGAACGATCATGAATATCGGCCAGGTCAGATCAGATCAGGTCATTTAACTATTTTGCAGTCGATTCCTCTTGTGCCACCCGGCTGCTAGTCGCGTTAAAAAATATTTGCGTGATGGCGCTGATTTTATTCCCGCTTTCCTTGCTTCAAATTATTCGGATATTCGCCTTCAAGCATGTCACCTTCGTCTGAAATTTAGATACGAGAATAATTTTGCAGTTGCGACATCAATTGCGCGGTCGGATCGATTCAATCGTTCTCAAGTTACCTTCCCCCTCGTCCTCGCCCGCAAGATGAATATCATTCTTTTGCTGCGACTCCTTATCGTAATCGGCACCATCATACTGATCGTCACCACCGTTGGCTTGCCCATCATCCAATCTAGAAGCAAAGAATATAGTACAATAAATTTATTGAAACTCTAAATATCTCTTAGAAAAATTTAAATAAATTTAAAAAGTATTTGTTCAAAGTTATACATATATAATCTAAATACTTTATACATATTGATATTATAGGAACACGATGCTTATTTATATATAGTGAGCGTAAAAAATATTCGTTCTATAGAGAAAATATCTTTATAAAAAAAACCTTATTTTCAGAAAGTAAAAATTAATTAGCAATTTATTAACAAAGAATAATGTAGATTGTATATTTCTCGAAATTATTTTACCTAAAATATATGTGATAAGTAAAACATATTATTTTAATAATAAGCAAAAATAAAAAATTTTGTATTATTTAGACATATGAGTAGTATTTATACGTGCAAAAAATTCTATTCTCTTCTAAGATCATAACGGTTATTTTTGCAAAGCTTTCTGTCTATGTCAAGATAGAAGTTACTCATTATTACTAAATTGCTAATTAATGTTTATTTCTACTAATATTTATTTCTAAAAAACTACTTTATGAAAACCTCTCCTGAATATTTTTTATATTCACTGTATTATATTTAATCGATAAAAATACTGGGACTCACCCAGGAACTCGATTGAGTTCGTCGCCGACCTCTTGTACCCCAGGTCCCACCCTCAACCAAGAGTCTTTTGCTCTCCTCTCGAGCTGTTCGCCAACGTGTCGCGCGGGAGGATTTACAATGAACGGTGGGTCCAGGTTGCCAGGTTCAACTATCGGCTCCTTTTCTTCCTTGTCATCCACCGCATTCGGAGCGAGTTTCGGCGGTGGTTGTAAATTGTTGTGAATCACTGCCGCCGCGTCATCTCGAATCTCCTCCTTCTTTTTATCCATGTCATCAACGACCTTCTGCTCGATGATTTCCGGTATTGGCAATACGCCGACCGGCACCTTGACCTTCGATGGTAGTCTGGCCGGTAGCGGCGCGGGTTTGTCGATAAGAGACGGTGATACCAGATTGGCGTTATTCGCTACAGTGGTGTTCTCCGCTTTGCGTGAACTCACCATGCTCTGAAAAAAGTTTCACACAATTATATACAATATAATATAGTTGTTTGGCGATGACAGATAGGAACTACTTGTTGTTGTGACGTCTTACTTATTCAATTCTTGTAATTACATAATGTTATAATAGAACCGGTTATAATAATAATTGTTATTTCTCGAAATACGCTGAGGAATTGCGTATATTTTCTATTTTCCGTTTCGTTAGTTCGGCGTAAATCATCTTGATGACATTATGTATCGATAAATCATTGATAAATAATACGTAAATCTTCTATAGCATAATTGCATAAAAAGTGTTTTCGCATCAAATTGTCTAATAATTATAAACTACAGAGAAAGCTGTAAATAGCAGTGCTTAATGCAGTGATTCTACATCAAAATAATTCCACTTAAAAGTTATATTAATTAGCAATCCAAAGAGAAGAGCTATACTACATAAATAAAAACAAGCTTTTCTTAGTTTGATAAATTCTAAAGCAATTATTTAGCGCAGCTAAAGGCAATAGCCTTGAACATAAATTAATTAGCGACGGCGATACAGCGTAAAAGCGCGATGCAGAAGCTAATAGTAGCTAGGTTATTACGAGGTTGCCAATAAAAATGCAAGCGGATAAACGTAATAACAATTTATTAATGCATCGTGGAACACAGATTTACAGGCACATTTAGTATGGCTTGAGCCATTTTACGCATATACATGAAGTCTTATATCCAATAAATAGAAGTGAACTCGATAAAGAAGATGAAAGATCGGTCAAAAAGATTGTATATACACGAACAAAATTTATATGTTTTAAACATCTAACATTTATCCAATAATATTTGGATTATATAACGATAAAAATATCTACACAATAATGTAAATAGTACAATAATTAAAAAGATGTCTAAAGATATCTGGAAGATAATAAGATTTTTTTACTTTAGAGAATACCTTTTAGAGATTCTTTAAGAAAGTATTTATTAAAAATATTAATTAGAGAGAGTCATTAATAATATTTACTGTTAAGACAATTTTACGAGGATTTTCATAAATCAGAATTTAATCAGTTCATGTATAATGTTAACAACTTCCATATTAATATTAATGAATAATACACAAAGCGTCAGCAAATATATATTTTACTTGAATAGTAAATATTAGGAATAGTCTGCAATAAATAATATATAAACGCTATTAATAATAGATAATATTATATTAAATAATATAAATATGCCATTTGCAACTAAACAATTTTTTAAAACCGCTACAAAATTACAGATTGCATCCATTAACAGCCAAATGTATTTTCCAAAAATCATAAAGTAGTAATCAAGCAAATATCCAGCATATTCGTTTTCGTTTGTTTATTATTTATAGTTAGAATTATTGCTCTTGTACTATATTTATTGAGATATGCAGTTTACAAGAAGAATTATTCTAATCATAAATAATACATTTAGAGAAAAAGAATAATGAAATGACTCAAACGATAAATAATTTTGTTTCATTACATGCATATAAGACTGTGACATTGGCTACATATATTTATTTATCAAGCGTAGTGTAATCAAATCTGTGTTATCAAATATGCGTGTGATACAAGGCAATACTAGAAAGGGAGAAAGAGAGATTACAATAAAAATATATTTCGAGAAAGTCTGAATGAAAAAGTAGAAGAACGCTTTAATATTCTCTTTAATCCTATATTAATGATAGCACTATTTACCCCAAAAGTATACAGAATTGTTAGAAGGAAGCAACTAGTCCTAAAATATATTTCATATTTACTGTATGTGAGAAATCCTTTTATTTGACTTAGAGAATAAAATGATCGTAACTCTGATTAAATAATTGATTAGATCTTTCCTATCGTCCATAAGTAATTCAGTAAAAATCTTTTTTAATAAATAATTAACAAATTATCATTAATTAATATTAATAATTAGATGTATAATTACGGTTTATTTTATAAATTAAATAATAATTCTCATTAACAATTTATAATTTAATAATAGAGATAATTTCTATATATAATTATTGCATAATAAAATATTAACCTTATACGCAATTTACGGGTTAAGATTCGAAGAATCTGACTCAAATTGTTCCTGACTTGAAGCTGAAGATAATCCGGTTGTAAATGCATAATAAAGAGTTAAATCTAACGAGTTCCGTTATCATTATTGGGCACATCACGATTGAGTATCCCATCTACTCTCTCCTGCAGAGCCTGCAGTTCGTCATCCTCCGCTTTGACATCATTTGATCGACCAAACGCGACTGTAGACGCTCGCTCGACGGCAAGTTGTGCCAACGGTTGCTCGGCTTGCGAACCAGGCACTACCGAAACATTATCGTTCCTCGTACCGTCGTCGTTTCGATTCAGCGGCGGCAACATTACCTGTTTTCTTTGTTCTTCATCGAAGCCAGTCTTCTCTTCGTCTACAACATTCGGGCGCTCGACAACGTCTTTCTGTTGCTTTTGCTCTAAGTCGTTAGCAGAGGGTCCGCGCTGTTCCCCGATCTCTTTCATTTCGCTGGGACCAGCTGGGACGATGTTGCCATTCTGCTGAACGAACCTGATATTGTTGGCTGGCTCATTGACGTCGTCATTTCGATTCATCTTTTCCACCGACGAAGTCGTTCTTCCGACTGCACGACGATCATGAGACACATATGGTGGCCGTGGCGCACTTACCTGTTGCTGTTGCGGCGCCGGGATCGGTTGTGAGTCTTCTTTAGGCAGCGCCGATTGCGACACTGACGCTCGAGGAGTCATCAACACTGAACTAGGTGTACTTCTAGCATAGAAATTCTGGAATGCATAAGATCACAACTTTTACGCGTTTTTATATAATTGTCTTGATTCTTTTCATGCAATCTTGAATACTTAAAAGAAAAGATCAAAACTTGCTCAGTAAACAAACGTATGTTTAATTTTCTATAAGATGCAACTATTAATTATGCTACGTATAGAATAAATATATTTATAAACACCTAATTTTTAAGTTGCATTGTATCTGTTTATATATATTATAATTAAATTTAATATTAAATCATGTTACTTTTAGAAAACGAGTGATGTACCTTGGCGCTCTCCAATTCGCGTCTAAGCTGGAAGATCTCCTTTCTGAGATGATCAACGGTACTACCGGTATTGTCTCTATTGTTTATCAGTTCGTTGTACTTTTCTTGCAGCCGGGTCTTCTCGTCAATTATTTCCAGGTACTTGGTCTTCAAGTGCTCCAGAGCTTTGGACTTGTCTTCCTGAGCCTGCCGGATGCGAGCGCGCAAGTCCTGCAGCGTTGATTCCAGTCTGCTAGTCTCATCAAGCGTCTGCTTCTCACGCTTCTTACATTCCTCCTGCAGGTCCTGATGCTCGGTCTGCAGGAGCTTATAGGTCTGCTGAAGCGAATTAAACCTCTGCATCGCCTCTATGCTGTCCTTGTCACGCAGAGACTTCTCTCGCGACGCGCGTTGCTGCAACTCTTGTTTCACCGCGGCATTCGAGCTCTTCTCTTCGGCTAGGGACTTCTCCAGCCGTACTTTGTACTCAAATATTACTGAAAAGATCGTATATTATCACGTTACTGAAAAGTCCAGTTGAGAGAGAGTTGTTAAATTGGAGGGATTTAATTGTCTATAAACCGCAATTGATAAATTTATAAAAATCGAGTACAAATTCGTGAAGTACGCTAAAAAATGCTACAATCCTATAATAAAACCTACATATTAAGGTCTTACTTCCCGCAATATTTTACTCTCTAGAATATGAATCACTTATGGCTATTTCTACTAATGTAGATTAATTTTAATCTTGGTTAATTTTAATCTTTAATTTACTCTTTACCTTTTTCTAATGCTTAAAACTCGAAAAAGATAAAAAGTAAGCTAAACCAAGATTAAAATATATCTACATTGGCAGGAATGGACATTAGAGCCTTGAGCGATATTGGCACGTGACAGAGTCTCAATCTATCATATGCCAATATCCTCACAGTTTAAATGAAATATTAAATCGACAATCGACAATTGGTTTCAGCTTCTAACAGCTTCTGATTTTAGTTATTTATGTTTCGTTTTATTAAACTTACCTTGTAGTTGAGCAGCGAGAGATTCTTGCTGATGAAGACATTGTACTTGCATTTCTTGAAGCCTGGTCATCTCTGAGATGGTGTTGCGGTACACGATCATCGTCAAGATAACCGCCACTGCGCAGCCCCCGTACAAAGCCAGGCGGCCACCTCGGCCTCTGCCAAGCCGCGAACCGCTCATCACTGTCGACAAAAAAAAGTACATTTATAATAATATTATCTGTTATAAAAACAATCGAGGTTGCTACATCGATGAGTGGAATCCTATCCTACGTTCAATCACAGACTCGTGCATCTGTGTATCTCAGCGTCATGTAAATATAATGTAACGCTACTAACTTATATTATCGTCGCTTACCAATTGAAAGATACCAAATATAGTGTACAATTGTTCTAAAACACATAACCAAATTTTGCCGAATGTATCGTTCTATAATTACACGAAATTGCATTGATTATAGAAACGTGCGGTAATATAAATTGAATTGCTAGCGAGTGGCTTCTAATTTCTAGCACAACTTCAGTATGTCACCGAAACGATTAGCCAACGAACTAATGAAAATTTGTCAACACTCGACAAACACAAAAATAAAGGACATCATTAAGGCGATGCTAAAGCCCCCCTGTTTT